CTGCACATCACCTCCACTTTTTTTTTTTTTTTAATTACATGAATAATACAAAGTAGGAATAAACCCAACAGCTGGAGCATCACTTACGAAATGGGTATCCATCCCCATTTTAAAACATAAGACAAAATTCAATTTAAAAAGCATGAGGGCTTTCAAGGATAACAGCTGCATAATTTTAAATAAACCTTCTTCAGTAAGCTCAATTATAAAATTCCAAACTGAAACCAAATAGCTTCAGTTCAGATGATTGGCTGGATAAACTCAGATCCACAAAATTCATCTTAAACCAAAGATCCCACCTAGAAAAGTTTGATCCTTCTAACTGTTTATAAAAGATGAATTATTCTGAGAAAGTGCATATTTCACTCAAATTCATCTTTAATCCTAAGCCACTAAAAGCAACATTCTATAAGTTGGAGAACGAGTAAAAAAACTTGAAGAGTACATTATGCTAGGGATGTCAATATTTGACACGACCCGAAAATTTCGGGTTAGGGTCAACTCAAACCAGAAACGGGTCGGGTTAGGGTTCAACAATTCGACATTTTTCAAAAATCACCCTTTGATCCGAAATTGACCCATTTTTTATCCAAAAACTCATTTTTGACCTGGCAACACGAGACTGACCCATTTTTACCCTTTTTGACCCAAAACGCGAAGAATGAGCCGTTTTTTGACCAGAAAACTAGCAGTTTTATTGGCACCAGGTCATTCGGGTTGTGTTGGGTTGACCCAGACCCAAAACGGGTCGGGCTCAGGTTGACTGAATAGTGCCGGGTCAATTTCGGGTTCAACCCAAACCTAGCCCGTGACATTTTCGACAGACAATGAGAATGTCAATTGTTACTAACTGGACCGAACAGTGTTTATTTGGTATGGTTTGTTTTCCAGTAGAAATTCTATATTCACAAAAGCAACAACAAATATGCCACATAGCACATAATACATAATAAGATACATTCAAAAAATATTAAAAGTTCCAAAATGATAAAGCGACATCTTGCTGATCGAAGATGTAGGCGAAGTATAAATAGCCCTGAACATATCATATCACGATAAAATTATACACTTACTAGCAAATAACGATAAGATAATTATTTCTGCTTTGAGGCTACAGTTCTTGAAACTGTGGAAACTCCATCAACAAATTTGGTCCGAAATAGAACGTTCGCGTTGTTGAACATTCCCTCCTTCAAAGAAACAACAATGAACTGCAAGAAGAATGATACAATATGATCACTACTAGTTCAAGATATGGATTAATCAGTCAATTATATGCTAAAGAATCTATGGAAAATAGTAAAGGATAGGGAGTGCACAAAAAAAGAAGGTTTTAGTGAAGCAATTCATTAGGAATAAATACAATTCATTCGCGTTGTCTAGCAATTCATAAACCAGATCATTCCCCCTCCATCCTTTGTGAAGTTTGAAGACTGCATGTTTAAAATCTTTAGGAATAAATATAATTTTAATGAAGCAACCCAATTTTTTATTCAGGTCTAGTAGCAAGTCAACAAGTTAATACTAATCAAATTTTCTCATTAATTTTACAAGATAAATAAAACTAGAGGATTTTTTTGGCTGAAAACAAGCACACATGTAGAGAACAAACAAACCTGAGAATGGGGAAAATGAGCTTTAATCATTCTTCCAATGTTCTGGGTGTGGCTTAAATCAAGAGCGGCATCCACCTGGCTCAGAAATTTATGCATGTGGATGGATAACAAATTCAGGTCATAGAGTACAAAAGTTTAAATTAAAATAATTGGGAAGTTCAAATCTGTCACCAGCAAAAAAAAAAGCCATACAATAGCAATTAAGATAAAAGATCAAAGCATTAGCTCAAGAAATCAGCTGCTTTTAATGCCAAAAAACATTTGTGAAGTTATATTACCGCATCAACAAAATTAGAACACAAAACATGTTTCCAGCAGATGAACGCAGTCTTATGCAGTGTTATATGTGAACAACCGTTTGCCCAAGAAAATAGCAACCATGCTAATACTGAAAAGAAACTGCCAATGGCGCCATTTTTGGTCAAAAAAATAATTCCTAACACCAACTTTTCAAGCCTTTCTTTGTTTCCCTAACGCAAATTAACAATCATGCAATCAAATTCATAATGGTTTAAAATGTGAATAGATTTTCTCTAAATGTACAACAAATAATCAGAAGATCCAAAACTTGGCCGAATGAATTGAACAGGTATATAGATCCAAAATTAAAAGAAAAACAATAATAATAAAGATTCCATCTTCAGTAGCTTCCAACGCAAAAAATTCACGTTACAGCTTCAAACACCATATTTTAATTGGTGCTTACGAAGAAATGTTACGACAATTAAAAGGCAAGGCATAATCATTGATTAAACGAAGTAAGCCCAACTTATGCCTGGATTCAGCATTACCAACAAGGGTAAAACTGATCAAACCTTGCATGTCAATTACGTGTTGCTCGGATTGTGGGCTCCGAAAAATTCCATGCCCCGGCCTCTCCCTGCCGTTCTTTTTGTTGACGTTTGACAGCGGAGGGTTTTAACAGATTTAAGTTCCAAGGTAAATTTTCAGAAGGCAAATTCACTACCCATAGGTAATACCTCATTTTGTGAGGAATTTATCATCTGAGTTCTAATTTCCTATAGTTAATTACCACTCTCGATAACAAGAGAGAACTTTCGATTAAGGCTAATTGTGAGATTGGCACTAAGTACCCAGCATATAGTAGCAGCAACTTTAGAATTTGAATTTGGTTTTATGATTTGAAACTTATCACCATAAACTTAAAACAAGAGATGAGGGGAATGAAGACAAGCCCGATCAAGATCCCATGGTTTCGCATACCGGACTGTCATGATCCCTAGTCTACTTAGTCATAGAAGGTAGTCGACTCAACCTAACATAAAACACCTTATCGACAGTATGGGTTGCTTCGTCCAAGAATATCTTGTAAACCTGAGATGGTGTTTGTTTAAGGGGATAGATATGAATCCACCTTAGCTGACAGAGGGATTTATGCCTATCAAGTATGACATATGATTCATTACTCAAGAGTTTGAAACCATTAGTGAGCATACGGGCTTTAGACATGATCGTAATATAATGGTAACATTTTGCGGCAAAACCCCCCATCAAAGGCACGTGTCTCGCCCCTGCTGGCAAGAGGCTATTTGAGGATGAATTTTAATGATACATGACATTCGCTCTTTATGAGTTAAGATTAATTTTAAATTTATCACCCCCGATAAACAGTTGCAGAATATGGATGGATTTTAGTTTTAAGTTTTGGCGATTAGATTTTGAAGTTGGCTTTTGAGAATTGACCCCTCCAGTTGAAATTTACTGTCAACACGGCCATCATTGGGGTGATTTGCAATCACTTGAAAATGTTTGTATTTTATAGGAATTTCGAGGCATTTAAAATGAAGAGGTCTCCTCAATTTGCGCGTACAAAATTTAAAATTTTGCCAATCGACAATTCCAATTAACACGAGCGTCGATCTTAGTTAATTTCGTTGCTCCAGACACATCGGTACCGTTCTTTTTGGGTTTTCGGTTGAAGCATATCGGGTGAGTTTTGAGTGATTTCGAACTCTTTTGCTTCGAACTTCACCTTGCGCGGTCGACTCGTTCCCAACACTAGTATTGAGATTAACATGGTTATATGTAAGTTTTAGTTTTATTGAATTTTGGAGTTTACATCTATTAGAATACTCATAAGTTAATTTGATTTAGGGTATGATATTTCATTTAAAATTTTTCCAAATGATAGGTCTTACGACTCCCTTTGGAATTTGCATGATTATTTGGATAGGACAGGTCTTACCGCTTCTCTTTGGAAGTGGCCCCATGGTGGGTCTTACAACTTAACCCTATAGATTAAGGTGTCCAATAGTTTGGTTTGATTGATAGGTCTTACAACTCCCTTAGAAATTGTCTGATTATTTGCAGGACTTACTGCATCCCTTGGGAAGTAGCATGTAGTTTGTGCTTAGGGTAGATTAGATTTTACTTGTAGGTACTTTAGTTTATAATTGTTTCCTAACTTGACACTAGACATTTAGCTTTCAGTTATTTTCTAGCCCGACACTAGTGTTTTTGCTATAGTAGTTTCTCTTCCAGATTTAGTTGTTCAGTACTTTACCCTATTTTTCTTGCACTTTAGTTTTCAATATCTTGCTTTTCTTTCTTGCACCAGTACCCTGCTATACTTTTTGTATCGTACTTTACTTTACAATACCATATTCTTTCACTTTAGTAATTGTTTTGGTATTAATCTTTTTTTTTCTTTACTTAATGGTTGTAAGAATCGAACCTATCGGGTTCATCTGAACCGGATATCTTTTAACAGTGAATGAAACAGAAGCGAGCAAAACATGCAGTCGCGACCCAAGCGAACCCCGCACAAGCACGGCCAGAGGCTGGAGGATTTGATTCGTGATTTTGAGCAAATATTCACGTATGGGAATGAAAAGAATACTCCTCGTGAATTATAACTTCTATACGCTTATTATAGTATAAGCAAATCTCGTGTGAAGTGTTGTGTCGAGAGAAGACTGTTTAGAGAGGAAGAAAAAGAAATAAGAAGTTAAGTGGTCAGTTTTATTTATAGTTTGGTGGATTTTTTTTTTTTTCTTCTGAGATGTAAGCTTAAGAAGGAATAAATGTTTATTTGAATTCAGAACGGAAGAAAATCAGAAGGAGAAAGAGGAAGTATTTGGATTTAGGAAATCTCATCATAAGAAAGTGTAAGCAAATTCTATTTCTTTTTCTTCTGTTTTTTTGTTCAATCTAAGAAAAGAAAATATTTATAATTCTCCTACTTGAAGAAACATTATTTTTGTGGGAAGAATCCAATTATAGTAAGCTTAGATCTGACAATGAAAGAAAGAAATTTGCAAGGAAGGCAAAACTGTAGTGAGGTAATTATTTTCAATTAATAGAAATTTTGTGGATGATTTAGAGAAATTATGTTATGTTAATAAAAATTTAATCAATCAAAAATCTTCTGGAGTTGGTTGAAGAAAATTGATGTTTTCTTTTTGATGATATTTAAGACATCCAGAGTGGATTGTAATACTTATTTAAAATATTATGTTATTTTGGAACAGTGTAAGGTTTTCATATTGAGATAAGTGTTGGAGGTACATTCATGGGCGGAACACCCATGTATTGATACCCACCCTAAAATAAAATACTAAATTTTTAGAGGGGATATTTCATAACATTTTGGGTATTTTGCCCCCTCTCAAAAATCTTTTTTCCCCTAATTTTATCAATCCTAAGTATCTTTGCCCATCCCCCACCAAAAAAAAAAATTTGTCCACCCTGAAAAAAGAAGCTAGATCCGCCCATGGGTACATTTCAGAGGGCTAAAATTTGGAAGGAATCTAATCATACAGAAATATTTAAAGTGAGTAATTATAATTATTTTATAGAAATTTCCATGTCTTTTATTTTAATAAAAATCTTTTAAATTTAATAAAATCATTACCCATGAAAACATTATGTCAACTAAATGGATATTGTATGAATAAAATAAATCAAGAAGAATAAAAGAAATGAAAATGTTGATTATTGTTATATGGCTATTATTGATCATTAATACATGCTTACTTGTTATAATTAAAGGTTTAATATGAAATGAAATTGAGAATATTGAAAAAGGAAGATATATGCAAATTACAAAAATTCATGTTAGTATGGTACTGGCTGGGGAAGCAACGCACCCGTGCACATTAAAAGGTAGTGCAAATGGTTGTACATTTATTGGTACATATTTTAGATGGCCCTCCTATACTATATGTAAAAATAAATAAATAAATAAATAAATAGGGAAATAAAAGAATGGATGAATGTTAATTGGAAAAAGAAATATGTTATTCGAAAGATGCATAATAGAGATCTATATTATATGAAGTTAAAGATCTATATTATATGAAGTGAGATATCTATAAATATGTAACTGGAAAAGAATACGAGATGAATATGATGCATGTCTTATTTTATATGCTTAACTGTTGTAAATGAAATGATGATTACCAACGAAGTATACTTAGTAAACTCGCTCTATTAAACTAACGATTTCAGGAAAGTTTCCTGATTACTGAAAATGGCTAAAAGAAATGAATACGCCTACAAAAGATGGCGCTCAAATGAAAACAGGTAAATCCTAGTTTATGTAAATAACTAAAATGTGAAGATTGAATTAGTGGTGCGTTAAAAAGGGAAGATAGTGGCTTTTCAATTTTTATTTGGTATGTAGAAAGTAAACTGTATTAGAATTTAAAACTAATGTTATAACAATTCGACTGTTTGTTCACGCCTCGTTAATTCAAGTATCCGGGTCAGGTCATGAGTTTAGAGCTTTGTATCTGGAGAGCTTGCCAAGGAGCATTGGGGAGTTGGGTATTTCACACAGGCGAGATGGTGTGCAAGTGAAGGCATGGAGGCAGCTGTTTGGTCAGAGGCAAAGGAGGCGTTCACACGGGTTGGGGATTCAGCATGAAGCAAGCAACGAAACAGGCAAGTAGTTCCACGCGTAGGGCACAGGCGTACGCCGACGCTTACATGTGGGTAGGCAGGACGTCTAATTGAGTAGGGACGGTGGTCACATGTGTCAGGAGGCGGACGCCGGTAGTCACACGATTTTTTGTGTGTATTAGGGTGACTGAATGGAGACGAAGGGGGTGCAGCTTAGCAAACATAGGTGGAGATTGGTGTGGTATGAGTGTAGGTTGTCGTGTGCGGCAGTCGAGCACTCGAATTCATGCGAGAGGTGGGAAGGCAAACGATTTTGGCATAGAACAATGGGTAAGTTTTTTTTATACATTTCCACTTCTTCAACATTGTTATAATAATTATTTTTTCACCCAACTCGAGATCATCTCTAAGTTGGGACTGCCGCTTCTAGTGTATAACTGGATAGTCAAGAGATTCATTATAAACAATATACTCCTCTCTTTCTGGAACATCCTTGCCAACATAAGTTTTTCTACTAAAGGATAACTTTTGTGCTTGAGGTTAGAGATGTCATTTACGATCTTTAGGATATTTTGGTTTCTTTGGAATCCAAATTTGTCTTTTTCTTGCAGTTACATATTGATGACCACTAGCATCAGAATGTGTCTTCGAATGCTCATATTCTTGATATCGTTGAGGCCTTCATTTATCATATTTTTTAGCATAGACTTTTGGGTATAAGCTATCAAAATTTTTTGTCATATATTTTCTTCTATAGTATGGATGTGGACTCATACTAGGAAAGTATTTTATTGGCTCCCGATAGTAAGAATCACGTTTGATATCCTTCATCGAAACCTTATCAGTCCAGGAATGAGTTGCATTTTAAGAATAACCTCATTGACAAAGCTTCTTAGTTTCTTTTAAGCTTCTATCTTTAACGGCTTTAAATATTTTGTATATATTGAAATATACAGATTCTTCCTTATTTGGTGGTTGTTGTTGGAGAGAAGTCTCCTAGAAAGGCTTTTTGATTTCACGTTTGGTGTTGTTTCGTTTCATCCACTTCAATGACTCGAAGTCATTACCAGTAAGGACATTTGCTTCAATAGAAAAAAGGATATTCTATTGAGAAGCTAGGATACTTAGGAAGCATTACCAGTAAGGGCATTTGCTTCAACAGAAGTTTTTAGAATATCTAGTAGAAAAACTTCTGTTGTCAAGGATATTCTAAAAAGAGCATAGTATGTTGTATATAATGAATCCCCCGACTCTCTAGTTATACATTGGAAGTGGCGGTCCCAAGTTCGAGATGATCTTGAGTTGAATGAAAATGACAATTATTATTATAATATTGAAAAAGTAGAAAGGTATAAAAAAGAACTTATGCTTTTTTCTTTGCCAAAATTGTTTGCCTTCCCACCTCATGCACGAATTCGAGTGCTTGATTGCCGCACACGACAGCCAACACCAATCCCATACCTCCGTTTGCTAAGCCGCGCCCCCTCCATCTCTGTCTGGTCACCATAATACACATAAACAATTGTGTGACTGTTGGCATTCGCCTCCTCCTAACGCACGCGACTTCCATCCTCGTCCGATTGGACATCAGACCTACCCACACATAAGCCTCCGCCTACGTCTATGCCCTACGTGTGGAAATACTTGCCTATTATGTCGCTTGTGTCACGCCGAACCCCCCAAACCCACGTGAACGCCTACTTCGTCTCCGACCAAACATATCCGTCTTCGCCTCCGACCAAACATCCGTCTTCGCCTCCAACCAAACATCCGTCTTCGTGCCTTCACTTGCACACGATCTCGCATGTATGAACTTCTAAACAAAGTTATAAATCTCAAACCAAAAGTAATTTATTGTATTCTAATAGATGTAAACCCCAAAGCGTCTTTTTCAAACCTAAAGCAAATCAACATACATCTAACAACTTCAGTTTACTCAAGATCCCTAAGAGGAAGTAACTCAAGGCTGCTAATCAGATTCATTGGACATTATGTTCAATGATTGCTAGTGCTGATAAACTAAAACTTACGGTATACCCGGAATGACAAAATCATGGGATCTTGATCGGGTTTACCTCTATTTTCCCCACAATTGAGATTAAAACACCTAAAATTATTCATCCTTAATTGAGAGTTCTCTCTTACGTGTTAAGAGTGGTAATTAACTATGAGTGTTTGCGCTCAAAGAAAATAAGGATCCAGATCTAACTAAACCCTAACACTACCCTCAGGGAAAATCTGAATAACTACAATTTGACTTAAGCATAAAAGAATACTATGTCTGTAAAGTGGGATTCATGCCAACGCGCCATTTTTTTTAAGCCAACATACAAAGAGGGAGAGAAGGGTTCAATGTACGAGCATTCAAAATAGTCGATGGAGAAGAAGAAGGGTTTAGTGTAGAGAATCAAAGACAGAAAAAGAAGAGGAGTTCATTCATCGACTATGCATTCCCATTCGCTAGAAAAGAAGAAGGTAAGCCATACAATATGTTAGAAGAAGGCAAAGAAATAAACTAGTTGTGCGACCTTTTCAGCAGCTAAGATCATAATAAGAGAGGAGTTTATATGACTTATCTATTGGAATCGAAGGCACTATTCGATGGAGTTATAACTGAGAGAAGAAAGAGGGGAGTTTTTGTGAAGAAGAAGAAGTGACATGCAATGAGTTGGTTGAGTCAAAAATCTAGAGAGAGAGAGAGAGAGAACTTTTGTGTACGAAAGAACAGGATAGAATGAAAATATATATGAATTAAATTAGACATGCTCAAATTTGTGATAAATAATTACAGGCTCTTTCTAAAAATTTTTAATGTTATTTTATTTAATCATTTTAATCATTGTTGAAAGAAATTAAATTTCCATTGCAAATTTATTGTCACTCATGATTTTATATTTCAAATACTCAAGCCGAATCATGACACACATTGCAATTCATTCTCCAAAACAACTAAACTGGTCGTCAGATCTTCATTGTCAATAGAATAAAACTTACGAAACAAATAACCATACCTGAAGATATTCAGTCGAACAAAATATAATATATTTTTTGCACTTTTCAGGTAATTGTTGATAATAAATGCAGGTAATTTATACACAATAGGTTTCTAACGTGTAATCAACATACAACGTGAACGATAACAAACATAAAATACTAAATTTAAAGTTTCAAAACCATACTTAAAAATAAATCTACCTCGTCTAATATATAAAGAGGAGCAGGCTTGTAAAGGAGCAAGGCTAGAATAAGAGAAAGAGCAAGAAGGGATCGCTGGCCTCCACTCAATTCTGAAAGGGATTGCTTCCAAACACTTCCGAATGCAACACGGACCTCAAGGCCATCTAGAAAACTGCATCCCTCTGGAGGTTGAAGCATAGACATAGTACCTGGCAAAAGTGTACTGAAAATAGACCCAAAATCCCTGGAAAAAACATTTGCTATATCAACTAACCATAAGTGCTACGATATATTTAATATAAAACTGCAGAAGAAATCCCTAACATAGATCAAGACAAAAAGGTGCACAGAAAAATGAAGCAAAATTTACAATATTCTGGCATGAAAATTGATACTCACTTGTTCACTTTGACCCAGGTTACTTTAAGTGTTTCCTTCTTTTTTTCATCTAGCTCTTCAATCACCTTTTTAATCTTAGCCTTATCATTCTGCAACAAGTATGAATATCAAGGAACTCATTTATAAAACTACAATTAAAATAGAAAAGGAAGTGGTGACCAGCCTCAATTATGTTCTTCTTCAAAATTAAAGAGTTGTATTCTTCTTCTGCTTTCTCAAACATTGCAATAACCTTCTTGTTGATCCTCTTTTCAAGACTGCAAACAATTACATATTATTATTATTATTATTTGCCATTAGATGAACAAAGGGTCTAAAGAAACAATTAGGTTTTAAATTCATGATTCAGTCACAAACTAGGTAGAGAATATGAATTTGCAGAAAAAATTTTCGAACTAAATTTGCAGACCTAGCCTGTTCAGATTGCAGCTTTTCATATTCCTCCTTGGCGCTGTTAAGGTCACGCGAGGAGAAATCATAGTCAGTTCCACTCTTACCAAATAGCTGTTTCTCAGCAGTAATCCACCCATGCTTTTCAAGCAGTCTATCAACTCTCACAGAGCAATCTTTTTGTTCCAATTCCATGCGTTTTACCTAAATGCTAAATGAATGTAAATAATGATACTAAATGTTCTATTCAGTAAAGAAGTGCAAAAACTGTCCGCATGAGGTAGCTACCTCATTTTCTAGTTTCTTTCTTTCTACATTTGCATCACTTTGTTGCTGCTGAAGCTTCTGCTGCTCTTTTGAAATTTTGCTAATCTGGCTATCACATTCTTTCATCTTGGAATAAATCTCTTGCAACTCAGATTCAGCTTGAATGTGTTCCTTTTTTATGGAACTGACCTGAAGAATTTAAATACTTCCAAATCAAATGGTTAAGCGATTAAGGAGAAGCAAACATTACAGTATCCTTTGAGCAAAAACAAAACAGTACTAATATCCAAAACATACCACTAATTTTTGTTTATCCAGTGCTTCAGTGAGAGAAACAATCTGTTTCTCCGAGGAAGATAATTGGATTTCCAATGAGGCAAGTTCTTGGATAATTGCATCTTTTTCCATGATAAGCCTCTCCTTTTCATTTTCATGACACTGAAATCATGCATATAAAATATCATAATACATCAACAGGCCATCTGCATGTTAAAACTTATTGCTATCAAATTGAATTGTTAAGTTCTCACAACAAAAGACAACCAGCATCTTCACGGCTCAGAGAATTTAGATATTTGGAAAAGAATATATATATATTACCTTCATTTGCTTTGAAGCGGACTGCAAATCAGCTTTTAAGACCTTTATTCTTTTGTCAAGTTCCTTAAGCATACTCTCACGATGTGTAGCGTGTTCTCTGATCAATTTTTCAAGTTCTTGAACATTGGAAACATAGTTTTCTAGCAGATGTTGCTTTTGTTCTCCATACAGCTTTGTTTCTTCAATCTCTTGTTCAATTTTTCTAACCAGCTCACCAAGCTAGAGCTCACACGGAAAAAAGGTTATAAGAATGTAAAGTCATGATGGACACAAATTCAAGTAATTGCACTTCAGTCAAATATCTGGAGAAAAAACCTTATGGTGCTCATTCTGTTCAGCTCTACTCTGGAAGAGAGAAAGATCATATGATTTCAGCTCCAATTGTGATTTAAAATGCATGAACCTTTTGTGGAGAGGCAAAAGTTTCGTGATCTGAGAAATGAACACAGCAGGAAAAAAATTTAAGGTGATTCCAACAATAGTCTGATATTTTGATTCTTCGATTGTACAAATAAACTATCTTAGAAAGTATTTTGCAATTTAAAACTAAAGAGAATTTAAATAAAATAAAAACAAAACAAGTTCTGAAAAACTGGATTTAGGTTTACTAAAATAAAAAAGTGGAGTGGCATATAAAATAATATATAAAGATGATTCCTGAGTCAGCTTTAGATTCTAAAGATAACCTTGCCATCAATTTCTGACAACCTATTTTGACGAACACAAAGCTCTGAATCTTTTTCAGCTAATTCATGAAGCTGCCTTAAAAGCTCGCCTCCACCCCTAAAAAATTAAATGGGTTTAATCTGTACTGAGAGACAATAAAAAATAAAAAATAGGCAACAATCGATGACAATTATATGTAGCAAATATAATCACAAAAGAACTACGAATAAGAATAAAATAATGATGAGGGAACGACTGCTGGCACTAGACTGAAAACTATAAGTTAACCAGTAATAAAGCTTACTTTAATAAATCTGTAATGCAAAGAATAAATATCATCTCAGCAGCCCAAAAAAAATGACGAACTTGGACAAGTAATTGATTATTCAACTGGCATCTGAATAAATCATAAATCTTCATCTTTCACCAATTACTTTAGTAATAATTTATATTCCCTGGGCGGTAACAAGGATGTGAAAATATAACTAGACAATTAAATTGTTTAGAATTTTCGCCTAAACAACAAAAAGATAAGTAACTATCCAGTATTTGTCATATGCAACAATGTTTTGTGTGCAAGAAAGAGCGGGAAATAAACAAAAAGAAAAGAGAGCATGATAATCACATCCATGCATTCTCTCTCCATCATTTTATTGCTCTTCAATCTCTCTCTCATTTACTAATTTAGTAACAACTACCTAATATTTTTCACAAACCAACAGCCATTAACTCAATGATTCCATCATCACAGGTCACTAAATCTTAATATGATACAGAAATGAAAAACTTTACAAACTAAAATTTAGCATACCGAAACTAGTAAATTTATTTGTGATAATAAGATTAACTCAAGAACATACATATTTGGGGTTTACCTAACATTGAAAACACTGCTTAAATGATAGGGAAGATAAAATCTCACTTGCGACTACCACCAGTTAGAAGTCCACTAGGTTGAAATATGTCACCTTCAAGAGTCACACTTGTAGTTCCGATATCTCGATTGAAGGCAATCTGCAATGCTTGAATATTAAAATCACTTAGAGAAACAAAAATGCTAGCATGGATTAACTTAGGAGACAAAACATACATATTTAAAAACCGAGTATTCATAAGGTTGTTCAAATTTGTTCAATTAGTTAATCAAATAAATATGAATGAGTCCTTATCATGCAATGCCACAAATAGTTTATCGAACGCTCGCTTTATTTGCAGCTCTACTCCTGCACAGTTGTTGACTAAGTTCTAAGTTGCGTCAATTTTGTCACCCATTTAAACTAGTTTATTATGGGTTGGCTACTATAAAGAAATTGTTATAGCATTTAAAATTAATGATGAAAGGCCATCGATTTGGGGTGATGTTCAAGTTTCATTCAGTGAAATAATGATATGTATGGGAGCTAGAATTTTGGCCGAATTTTAACAAATGGAATTTTGACTTTTAAAGCATCAATTGGTGGACAGTTTAGGACTTGCAAACACTTGGTGATGGAAAAAGAGTGTCTTAAGAAAAATTATGGATATTTGTATGAAATTCGAATGAGTTTTGATAGGTCAAATGGATGACAGAATCCAACTAGATCAAATTCAGCCTAAATTTAGCCAAAATCTTTGGTAGGGGTTATGGAGGAAATACGCATGCTACCTTCACCACAGCCTTCCGAATGTGAGACAAAAGTTAGGTATGACAAAAAAATAATTACAATTTCAAAGCTATCAAGGAATTAAGAAATACCGTCATTTTAAATAGGATGTTGTTTTTCTTTCTATTTCTTTCCCAACTTTCAAGACCCCCAACTTCTATTTAGTTAATATTGGGTTTCAACTTCAAAGAAAAACACCTGATCAGAAAATATTTTCATTTTTTAACACAAATAAACTCCTGATATCAACCAAAAAGGTACCTCTTTTGCTGCATTAGTGCTTCGACAAACAAATGTTGATCCAAACACATAAGCCATGGCATTCTGCAAGAAATGAACGCAAAGTGAACACACCATCGTATATCATAACAAGTTAGATGAGGAAAGACAACATCCATTTACACCAGGTAGTGCTACATTTTACCAACATATTCTTTAATATATATATATATATCATTAGAATAGGGACGGCATACATGCCACCCCAATGCACCTCGTGCATGGGATGGCATGTCCTCCCAATGGAAAAGGAAGATGGTCCCTGCATGGTATTATATCCCACAGCAAAATTGTATACCCCAACTTTCTGAAAATCATATGCCGAAAAGAGCAGCTGTCATCAACAGGTCATATGAACGTGAACCAAATAAGACATCCAGCACACAAGAAAAGAACAAAAGCAAGAAATGTTTCTCTGGTACCAGAATACATTAAAATTAAACAGGTGCACACATTTCCGCATATTCATTGCAAAGTAAATCCAACAATCACAACTAAAACCATCAAGATTGAATATATCAAGTAACTTAGCAACTGATGGCAAAATAGGTAGATAAAGTTAAGATATCAATATATCTTACGCTTTGAGACGGAACTGCTTACCTTAACTTCATCATCATATCCTATCAAAAGGAGTGCCAGTTCTGCATTATGCTCACCAACCTGCGAAACAATAAAAAATGTAAAACAAACAAAATAGGTTAAAAAAATTACTATGAATATTGTAACAGTCTAACCAGGCTAGCAGCAGATTGCTGAACCCTTGTAGGAACAATATGAGATTGGATTTTGTTTAATGGTATAATTGTTACTCTTCTTCGAAGTTCTCCATTTTGGAGCAGCTGTTTCCCAGTGCTTTCTGTGTCGACAACAACATTAAACAGCTTGCCCCCAGCAGCCACCTGCATGATGGCTTGACTAGTTTTCAAATAGCAATGGAAGAGAGAAAAAGTATTATTGGTTACATTTGAAATCTTATAGATCCAACCTCTAAAGCAGTCATAGTAGACCTGTCTTTTATTTTAATCAACCTCGCAACCACCCCCTTCACGCTTGACCGATCAAAGTTTTTAACAGGATCACGATAACTGAACTCGACATTTGCAAGTTGACCTGAAAGAATGCGAATTCCATCTTTCAGCTTCTGAATAGCCTCAAGCTCCACAGAACGGTCCTGACCAGCAGAGCATCACAAAAGAACATCAACAAAATCCAAGTTCTCTACCATAAAAATGTGGAAATTAGAGATGTCCTTTGGATACCTATCGGAAGTATTCAAATCAATCACATGCAGGCTATGCAGCCATTCATAGATTTAACTTCCTATGGCCTATAAAGGTTACCAGTCATTGCTATGCTAACCTTTTGAAGAGCCTCCATCTCGCCTTCTTCACATCCAATAGATTCCAATGCAGACTTAATGCTGTCAAGATCTTTCTTCCTATCACTGAGCTCTTTTTCTACAGCAGCAGCCTCATCACATTTTGATTTCAACTGTGCCCTTTTTGTTTTAAGTTCTTTATCTAAATGGCTAGTTTTGGTTTTTAACTGCTTCAGTTCAGTTTCACAGTTTCCAACTGAAACTTTTGCATCTCTTAGCTGATCTTCCAGACATTTGTCCTCGTTTATGCTGCTTTTGCCAGCTAGTACACCCTAGTGGTAGAAGTTTTAGATCATAAATATATTGAGGGTAACAATAAGCAATGAGAAATCAACGGTTTTGGTATACCTGGTATTCTTTCTCACAATCATCCAAATTTTTTGATAACTCTTCAACTCTCTCCTTTAGATCAGCTGCTCCACTCTCAACTTTATGAACAGCAAAATCTTTCTCAATAATTGATCGTTTGAGATCATCGATATTCTTGCTAATCTGTTAAATACCATTCGCAGATTTCAGACAGTGAAACTAGAAATCTATAGCAAATCTTGTAGTTTCCAGTTGAGAACTGATGGTGGATAGAAGAAAAAAAGGAAATACATGTAATTCCAATTAGAAGCATAGTGACATACTGTCATATTTCTGATGGAATAATAGTTTCAAGCATTAGTTTAGAAGTCTGAATATTTTGAAAAATAACTTACTACGTGCAAACCAGTTAACGCTTAGTTAAACATACTGCATTCATAAGAAAGAATGAAGAAAGCCATCAGGACCAGAAACAGTGTTTACCTTCTTGGCAGCATTTTCTTCTGACCTCAATGATTCTTCTTGGTTGGACATTATTGAAGTCTCCTTCACCAAACAACGAGAAAGTTCATCTACAGTCAGTGACAGCTTCCTTACCTCACCACCTAACTTTGCTTCTTTATCAGAAATCAAATTAGACAAATTACTCTCCATCACTTCAATATCTCTTCTTGATCTTTCTGTTCTATCATCAAGTTCAGCAATTTTAATCTTTATCTGTGCAACTCCACTTACTGCACCATCTCGCACTTTTTCTGCCTGCACATATTCATAAGCAATGCAAAACCTTTTAAGACAATCCAATTCTGCATTGCCATTGGCCCATTGCATGTACTGCATCCTCTCCTTTCTGAGCTTCTCAAGAGAAGGAAGAATTTCCTGGTCAAGGAGTTTATCCATCTCATCCAATTTGCTTTGTTTCTTCTCAAGAGTCTTTAAAGCAGATTCTTTTTTCATTTCATACATTTTTGTACCAGCAGCCTCTTCAAGCATGGATAGAATTTCAGGTGGTTTCATGTTTAGCACTTTAGTTATGCGCCCTTGCATTATGAGAAAATGTGGATTGTTGACATTAAGCTGCACAGAATGAAAAAGTGTCTGCACTCGAGAGGGCTGAGCAAGGTGCCCATTAATAAGGTATTTGTTTCTTCCGCCAACTACAATCTGCAAGCCAAACAAATTGCAATTTAAAAGGCAGTCTGTTACTGTTCCTTGTGATTTGAGGAAGATAATACCTTCAATTTGAGCAATGTTGTGCATGAAGTATGAAAAACAAAATACAGACTACCAAAGCAATAAGACAGAGTTCTAAAAAAGCCGTATCAACAGAATGCTTCCAACGCTACTACCCCATGTTAAAAGAAAAGGTGGATGGAAGAATTTAACTTAAGAAAATTTATGATCAAGAAGCTTAAAATGAAGTCCCAATTCAAATAAGCGCATAATGGTAACAATTCAATGGAACAGATTGGGAAATACAACTACACAATACAATATTTCATTTTAACCATTTTCCATACCTCGATTTGAACCAATAGGATTACAAAATAAAAGAACACGGGTTTTATATATAGCATCATGCACTAAGCAACGTTTTTTTTTTTTATCTTTTATCTATGTAATGACTCTAACCGTCATCATTAAAATTGAATTTACCCATTGCGTAGTTCTTAAAAATATTTTTTAAAACAATAATAGTTAGATTAGCCTATTCTGATATATTACTTCTTGATAAAGCACTATAACCGATCATTCCTCTACAATTACTTAAAAACATATTTAAGCTACATACTATGCTTCACTTGATTTCTCAATACATACTCCAAAATGGCCTGAAGAGCATAACCTAGTGCTAGGTAAACTTCTACTTAAACAATACCTATACGAGAATTTTTGTAATAGCATTTTGAAGAAAGAATTATGACTGGACCTTATAAAAGTAATAAACAGAAGATCAGGAACCAATTGCACTAAAGTAACTATCATTATAAGATTTAAAAATATAAATTAGGTTTAGGTCCTAAAGTAGGCACAAAAAGGTCAGCTGATGATCCAGTACGTATTGTGAGAAGCACTGAGAAGAAAGGAAATAATGAAACATTGAACAAGCTTTTGGTTGAATCAGATAAGAATGTCGTAATCTATTTTGCACCTGATACGGATACAACGACAAGGATACGACATGATACAGATACGAGACACTTCAATTATTAAAAGTATAAAATACGGGTACGACACGGAAACGGCATTATAATTTACAAATCATATATTAAAATTAAGATAGTAATTAAAGCATAATATTTAAAATGACAAAGAAACATTAAAGCAATATCATATTTAGACTTCTAGCTTATAATATCAAAATAAAAGTAAGCACAAAATGTTTAGTATAACATCAAAAATATAAACATAAACTGTCTAGTGCATGAAGTTTCAACTATTCAGTGGAAAGAATGATAGGATAAGCTTCTTCAGGGATTTGTCTTTGAACTTCTATATCATCTTCAATAAATATCATTGCTTCCAATTCCGACTTATCAAGTGGAAGATTAGCAATCTTCAATATTCTCATATCATCAAGGGAATTCATCTCCGGCAACATCTCACATCTTGTTATCTCCTTTCATATAAATTGTAGTATTTCTTGATATAAGCCTAAAATTGGTATGCACATAAATTAAATCGTCAACCCATTATGGAGTAATTTTGTTCCTCTTCATTATTTGAATAAATGAGTATGTGCTCCAATTTCTTTCACAGTATGAGGATGATGAAACTCACTTGCGCAAATGAAAAATACACGCATAACCCTAGCCCCTGCTTGCGAAAACTGCCCTCCCTGCTCGCGTACCCTACTTGGCATCAGCTTCTTGCCTAAACGAAAAATAAAAGCATAACCCTAGCACACTACTCGTAGAAATGAATAGGCAAATACATGTAGTTGCTCATTTTATTCAAATAATTTGTTTTCATTATTCAATAAGATACGTGTGTCCGGTATGCATATCATTTTTAAATTAAATATTATTTTAATGGGATACGCCCTTGCCATATCGAACACATATATGAGCCGTATCGGGTGTATATTCGTGTCCGACACATGTCCAATATAACAGGCCTTCATAAATAGGTGTATCGATGCATCATAGGTCATAATATTCCAGGAAGCAACAGAATGAAGTGATCCTTACACCATAACGAAATATTTTGTAAAATCAGTTAAACATTAAACATATTACTTTTCAAGCAATCATTGCTATCCATGACACACTAAAGAAAAATAAATACAACAAGGTCATCCTAATGATTTAGGATGATTAGCTTCTAAAAGATGGATAGAATATGTTGTTAATGATCACCCATGATTCTATGCATTACTGTCACGGCTATGAGCATCTTATATGTAGTGCTTATCTACTTAACGCTTTTTCTTTATATTGCATCTCACTTAGTAGATCACCTGTATTTTTATTTATATATTTCATCATTTATTGTATTAATAAAAAAGATGCTTAGTTCATCTTGTAAGTTATGAGTACTTTAAAATTTTGAGTTAATCATTTATGTTTGTCCAAATGGCCTCACATAATTATGAATAACTTAATTTATTTTGTTTGCTCTCATGTAGTTATGATTATTTATGCACAGTAATTCATGATTTCCTTTATGGTATGATTGATTTTCATTTACAAATAAATGAAGCGATCACTGAATTAACTCCCTCTATCTTTGAAGAGAGTTGCTCCTCTGATGAAGAGTTGCATATAAGACGACATTTGTTTGATAGGACTTACACTGGTCATCAATATATGAAGGATGTGTTATTTAGTTAACCAATATGAGCTTATCAAAACTTCAGGTTACCAATTGAGGCTTTCATGTGTTTAAGGGACCCACTACTTAGTCGTGGTCTATTAAATGATATCAAAAATATAGTCGCAATATAACAACTAAGCATATTTCTTTGTGGGGTAGCTCATATGCATGGCTACAAACAATTATGTGATTTCTTTCAGCATTCACTATAAAATGTGAGCAAATATTTTAATCAGATGCTACAGGGTATTGTGTCATTGTCAAATGTGAAATGTTATCCTTTCATACGTTCAAATGCATAATTTTATCATTACTTTAAAAATGTATTAGGTGCGGTTGTTGGTGCGCACATGCTATCGTTGTTAGTAGTAATTAATAAAATCGATATCATAATCGGAAGGGGTTTAAATCCCAAAATGAAATGGCGGCGATGTTATTCAATTGGCAGTTTGTTTTGTTGTCTCTAGGTGAGAGGGATCTATTGCGGATTTGCACATGCTTAGATGGGCATGGATGATGGATGGATAGTTATTATTTGTTTGACCCTGGTTATATCAACATTGATAAACTGGTAAAACCATTTTCGGGATATAGATATCACCTTAATGATTATCGTGGAACTAACACCATAAAATATATTTTTGCGCAATAGTTATTTAATCATTGAAATGCATAATTACGCAACATAGTTGAGAGAACTTTTGAGGTTTAAAAAGAACAATTTCAAGTATTGACTCACTTGCAATAATTTTTTGTTAGCGTTCAAACTGGCATAGTGCTTACATGTGCAATTTTACATAATTTCATTGGTTAATATCATAGACATGATCTCTACTTTAATATGTCACAGACAAAAATTCAACATGATACTCAATATGGTGAGGCTAAAGTGAATGATGAGGATCCTAACATGCATACAACAATAGAGGAAATAATTTAAGGTCAGACCACAAGATATGTCATCACCATGAATTTGCAGGATGCTCAAGTAAGATTTTTTATTATAGTAGTAAAAATTCAATATAAATTTGAAATTATTACAACCTTATACTTTTTTAATTTCAAACTTCAACTCAAGAAGATCACTCATCATAACTGAATTGCAAGATATATCATGTCGCCATCTATAGCAAACATATCTTGGATTCTATTGTTCACTACAACTTAGTCTATATGTTAATTAATATTAATCTACAATGTACTATTCAGCTTGATTTCATCATTTTTATTGTATGAAGTTATGTTAACTTTATAATTCGATTATTGATGTATGGCCAATAATTAATTTTTAGGAACTTATATATGTTAGATCAGCAATTTCACATAATTCACTCATATCATAATTCATATAACAAAGTTCAATTCTTACACATGTATTATGTATATGTTCATATTAAAGACCTTAACCACCATATATCCTGAAATGTGCAGTCAAATAAATCCTAAAATATGCAGCCAAATAAATCTTGAAATGTTCAGCCAAATAGTTTGCCTGAATTTAACGTATCTCATCCCAAACAATTTTCATAATTTAACAACTTCGAGATTTGATAAATCCAGATTTATAGGATTTACTAAACCCACTTGCAGCCAAACCTCCCCGAAGTGTTAAGAAAGATTAACACAGTTCAATTCCAAGCACAAGTAAATGCATGGCCTTAATACCAAAAGTCGAAAGTCCTAAATGTTGCTCAAAATGACGTTGCCAGGTTGACAACTAAACAGTGAGTAGGAACGAAGAAAAAATATTAAATAAAAATAGAAAAAAATTTAATAAGACCGCTGAATTCAAACTTGCATGCGATCTAAGATTACAAGGAACTATTCAAGACTTTAAACTTCAAATACCCTAGTTAGGGTTCGTATTAAAATTCAAATAAATAAAGGTAGGCTTAAACCCCCACCTGCCTTGTGACAGTTATCTCAGAGCAGCCCTCGTAACCTAAAGGGCTTCGACTCCGGTCAGAGTTGTCAAAAATAACGGAGACGGTAGCCTTAGTAATGCCGGCCTGTCCCTGCTTGTAGACAAGTTCCTGGAGATTGGTGGCGCGTACTTGCTGGAGGTTGGTGATCCCAAGCACGAAGCAGATGGAGTCGAGGATGTTGGACTTCCCGGAGCCGTTTAGCCCCGTGATCGCGTTGAAAAAGGGGTCAAAGCCTGAAACAACAGTCCTCGTCGCGTACGATTTGAAACCCTCCAGGGATATCTCCTTGATGTGCATCCTCGCCGGAAATGGCGAACACAAGTTGTTCACCCTAATGAAGAAGAGGAATGGTCCGGGGATGGTGTAGCATACCAACCCTAGAAATGGGGGGAAGGGGGGCGGGAAATTGACTCAGCAGTGATGCTCACTTCCGATTTCAAAATAGTCCTGAAACTACTGACATTGGGCCAAGCCCTCATTAAAAAAAAAAACTACAGTGACGGCTGATGGGAATCGGCCTACCAACGGACGATTTATTAACTAAATGCTTTGACATAATTTTTATATGAAGATTTTTTTAAATCGGTTCCGGGTCGGGTTGTCAGGCTGCGCGATAAAGAGTTAGAGCACGTGGCGATATTTTATTGACGTCCGGATGTAGACCTAATAAAAATTGAGATGAATCCAATAAGTTCGAGATCATTAATTCAAAAATCATAATTACTAAGTGCTAAGGGAATGATTTATGATCAAGAGAATGAATATACGATGTTTGTTTTATTTAATGGGCATATCACTCAAACCATTAACAAGATTGACTTTTTTTTTTTTTTGCAATTATTTGGTTAACTAATTTTATGATAATATAAAAAAAACAAAACTAAACTAATGTTATGATAATTGAAAAAACAAATATATTTAAAGTATCTTACAAATAAGAAATATAGTTCTTTGTTGCTTGGAAAAAACTAATTTTATGATAATTGAAAAAACAAATATATTTAAAGTATCTGATATGTCATGCTAGTATGCTTGGATCATTTTTGTTCTTTTTGAATAGATGATGCAAGTATCCATTAAACATTTTTATAGTTATCCTTAAATTCTCAACTTTAATGGTTGAAATATGTTTTCTCACTTTTTTTATAAAGAGATTTAGGATAGTTCATTCAAATACTCTAATTACATCTTTATTATGGACTTTATGTTTATTTTTCCTCTTCCACTTTGTGGATCCATACTCCATCCACCATCCTTAACTTCTCACAAGTGGAGGTTAGTGTGGTGGATTTTTTTTTTTTTTTTCTTTCAAATTTACACACTCATCACATACGTGACAAGAATATTAAAAAAAAAACTTATATTATTTGCATTCGATTATTGTTATTTCGTGCTTGTAAATCTTATGTATTGTGCATGAAATTATAAAGAAAATAGAAAAATTGAACCAGCACTACTGCGCCACCATCTCAGTGATGCAACAACATAAATCATTTCAGTGACGCAGTGTCGCACCCTCAACACCACAACAAAAAGCTTACCAAAAATTGACTGGAGAGCTTAGCGCCGCAATGCTGGACTGGAGCGCCAAAACGCTAATCACCATAGTGGGAGACATTTGAACCAATGAGCCAACACGACCGTTGATGAAATGGGGAATCGATTTGTCAACGTTGTAGCATCGCCAAGCTAGCACCATGATGCTAGTTCAATTAAAAACTAAAATATTATAAATTGTCACCTTATTACTTAAGTAAAGAGTTGGCTACTTGGATGAGTCATTTGTAGTATCATTTTGGGAGAGTGTGTGAGAGTTAGGGGTACAAATGAGTCAAGCCGACTAACGAACCGGCTCAAATTCAACTCGCTAAAGAGCTAATGAGTTGAGCTTATCGAGTTTCGAGCTCGAGCTTGAGCACATTTTTTAAGCTCAATGCATTATCAAGCTCAAGTTCAATCTAGTAGATGCTCATCTCATTTGATCGACAAGTTGCTTAATTGTGCATAAGGCGGAAGACAAATTGCGAGCCACGATTGGTATTGCAAAGCAAGAGTGGTAGAACCACATAATAGGATGGACCGAATCACCAAACCATCTAGTAGAAAGCTAATATTGGTTTTTGAATTGAATCGTCGAATATGAGGAATAGGGATTTTGCCTACGGGAGTGCTGCGGTACGCCATGTGTGAGCTACTATGGACTTTGTGAGCGCGAGGAGGACTGGCTGCGACGTTGGTGACTAGCCTTATCTTGTGGTGACCAAGAAATTTCTTCAGGTAAATATCTTAGCATTGTCAAGGATATTCATTGATCAGAAAATTTCTCAACATTGTCAAAGATGTGAGAGAGTGATTTGGTTCGCCCTTCGTGAGAACATTGATTTTGCTATTTTTTCTTTGTTCTATTCTATTTTTATCAATATCTTTGGAATATTAGTTAGGAGTTTTCTTATCTTTGAGTAATGGCGCGAAAGACGGAATCGGAACTTGGACAAAAATGGTAAGAGAGCTTTTGCCTTGTGAGCTACCGCATTGGTCGCCTCGATCTGAGTTCGAGCAGGTAATTTGAGCTCGAGTTCGAGCATGCAATCAGACTGATGAGCTTTGCTCGACTTAAGCCTGATTCGAGTTAACTCGACTCATTTGCACCCCTACAAATTTACACACTCATCACATACGTGACAAGAATAAAAAAAAAAAAAACTTATGTTATTTGCATCCGATTATTGTTATTTTGTGCTTGTAAATCTTATGTTTTGTGCATGAAATTATAAGGAAAATAGAAAAATTAAACCAGCACTACGGCGCCACCATCTCAGTGATGCAACACCATAAATCATTTCAGTGACGCAGTGTCGCACCCTCAGCACCACAACATAAAGCTTACCAAAAATTGAATGGAGAGCTTAGCGCCGCAATGCTGGACTGGAGCGCCAAATCGCTAAGCACCATAGTGGGAGACATTTGAACCAATGAGCCAACACGACCATCGATGAACTTGGGAATCGATTTGACAACGTTGTAGCATCGCCAAGCTAGCACCACGATGCTAGTTCAATTAAAAATTAAAATATTATAAAACTGTCACCTTATTACTTAAGTGAGGAGTTAGCTACTTGGATGAGTCATTTGTAGTATCATTTTGGGAGAGTGTGTGAGAGTTAGGGGTACAAATGAGTCAAGTCGACTAACGAGCCGGCTCAAATTCAACTCGCTAATGAGCTAATGAGTTGAGCTTCTCGAGTTTCGAGCTCAAGCTCGAGCTCACTTTTTAAGCTCAATGCATCTTCAAGCTCGAGTTCAATCTAGTAGATGCTCGGCTCATTTGATCGACAAGTTGCTCAATTGTGCATAAGGCGGAAGGCAAACTGCGAGCCACGATTTGTATTGCAAAGCAAGAGTGATCGAACCACATAATAGGATGGACTGAATCACCAAACTGTCTAGTAGAAAGCTAATATTGGTTTTTGAATTGAATCGTCGAATAGGAGGAATAGGGATTTTTTCTACGAGAGTGCTGTGGTATGCTATTTGTGAGCTACTATGGACTTCGTGAGCGCGAGGAGGAGTGGCTGCGATGTTGGTGACTAGCCTTATCTTGTGGTGACCAATAAATTTCTTCAGGTCTATATCTTAGCATTGTCAAGGATATTCATTGATCAGAAAATTTCTCAGCATTGTCAAATATGTGAGAGAGTGATAGTCGCCCTTCATGAGAACATTGATTTTGCTATTTTTCCTTTGTTCTATTCTATTTTTATCAATATCTTTGGAATATTAGTTAGGAGTTTTCTTATCTTTGAGTAATGACGCGAAAGACGGAATCGGAACTTGGACAAAAATGGTAAGAGAGCTTATGCCTTGCGAGCTACCGCATTGGTCGCCTCGATCTGAGTTCGAGCAGGTAATTTGAGCTCGAGTTCGAGCATGCAATCAGACTGATGATCTTTGCTCGAGTTAAGATTGACTCGAGTCAACTCAACTCGTTTGCACCCTTAGTGAGAGTAGCAAAGTGGAGTGTGTAGCTTGTATTTATTATACTAGAGTCTTGTATTGAAGTGAAATAGAATGAAAAAAATGAACAAAAGATTGTAGTTTTACTTCCGGGTTATTTCTAAACTTCACTTGCATTTTTTTATTCGTGTTTAGAGTTGTATCTTGGGTTTTATTTGCGAACAAGGAATGAAATAAAATGTTTATAATGTTTATTATATTTCTTGTAAGTTACAATGCCTCAATGTGTAGCTAATCTATTTAATTTTTCCGAACTTAAGTTGGTTTATGTATATGCCTCGCATAAATTAAAAATATAGTGCGATATTGAGCCTCGATAGGTGGATTAGAAAAACAATTAGAGAACTTAGAACGTAATATGGCCTTACATAGATATGGTGGTCGCTTGGTTTTTTAGGACTTTTGGAGATAGTTTAATTGTAGTTAGCATTGATCCTAACTTAGGCTCCAACGAACTCGGCAGAAATGAGAACAATTGATATGCTACACATCAACTTTAGGAATATATATCTCTAATGTAATCACGTTCTTTGAAGGATTCATAGATTCCAAAATTTATAAACATTTGAAACTTTTGTTATCACATTTTAAAACTTTTAATTTTTTTTACAGTTGTAATCATATTTTTATTAGCTCACTATATAAGTATAGAAGTCCAGAAAGCATTAGCAAATTGCACTCTCAATAACTCTATTATTTTTTTCTCATAGTATCGACACTATATTCATCACTTTATTACTCAGTGCGATAACGTTTACCTGCATTCTAAACATGATTTACATATTAGAAATTTTAATTTTCCTTTGATTTAAGTTGAGGACTTTAACATAAGTAAGTCTTCAGCTAAAAACAAAACAACATTGAGTTTTTAGCAACCCACATATACCACCATCAATATGCAAATATCAAGACGTATTTTGTTATTAGCTTGCATTGACAAGCTTAAATAAGATAACTATGTGATTTTCCAATGCAAAAAAAAACAAAAAAAGGTGATTGCATTAATATGTGATTTGGCATGCTTTGTTATATAAACAGCTATATAATATGAAATTTAGTTTATTTATGTTCATGTTATTATTTATATATTTGGATAATTGTTATGTTCATCATTCTCAGCATAGTGATTTTTTAGACTGTATTTAAATGCTTTTAAATATTTTGAAAATAAATATTCAACAAAAAGTTTAATAAAATAATTTATAAATTTAGATCGACTTGTGTGGCTTGCTGAGCTAGTTGAGATCATTGTGATTTTGCTTTTGATTTTTAGGATTTTGGAAAGAAATTGATGAGTTTATATGTGTTCCTATATTTTCATTTTTTGTACAATCATGACTAGTTTCTTTTTTGTTATATAACTTTTTTATGGCCTTATATTATATTAAAATATTGTATTATTGTGATGAAATGAAAAAAAAAAAAAATTTGTTGCCTAGTTTATTTGCAATACTTTGAATATTTTAGTAGTTTTGTAGTCTATAGTTTATTTAAAAAAAATGGAAAAAACTAAAATATTCTAAAACTAGAATTGAGATTTGACAGTCACACCTCAAGACGATAGGATATGTCTTGGTTGGGTGGGGTTGTGACATCTGAGTTGTAGGTATGTTTGTTAGCTTTGAGTTTTATAGGCTTGGCCTTTTGTTGTTTTGTTAGTTATTGCTAAGTGTTTTTGTAGGTAGACCTTAAATTGTATATATATATATATATAGAAAATCATTTATGAGATTCATTAGTCTTCCATTTTATATTGCATGCAGTAGTGACTCTATGTAGCATATACATTGGAAGTTTTTGTTTTAGTGCTTCTCCGATCAAATCTTTTGTTGTAATCGGACACATTATGACCTGTGTGATATTGGGTCATGTCGGGTCAGGTTGTGACATCATCCTTTTCCCTCCTCATATTAGAGTTTGATTCATAACTCAATATGGAACTAAATAAAATAATAAAAGTATCATTTACTTTACAATTTAGTTATACTAGTACATATTTAAAGTGAATGTAAGAATGCACATGCATTAATTTCTTTTATAACTCTCAAATTCCACTTCTCACTTATCAAAGACAGGAGCAGAGTAAAGCATAATATAGTCTAATACAGAGTCAATTAAGAGCTAAAACATAGTAGAGTAATCCAAAATAGAGATATATTCACCTTGGGACCAAATAGAAAAATTAAGACTATACTTATTCGCCACAAAAAGCTCCAAAATGTCAAGAAAAGCATGATAATGCAAAATAAAACATGTAATTAAATAATTTAAAACAATTAGAAATTAAATATCAGTTTACATAAAAACCCTCACATTTCAAGTGTTTATACAAAGTTCTCCAAGTTTTATCAATTTTATAGAGATTATGTAAAATGCTAAATTAACATATATTGCTAACTGTACTAAGGTCCAAAGATGTTGCCATTTTTCAAAATTATTAAATATTCATACAGTAATAAACAACTAGTAGAATTTTACATTCTTACAATCAAATCATCAAGAACGAAGAATATAAAAATATATTAAAAGTTATACATTGAAATATTTCTCAAACTCTTGAAATTGTATTTAAAAGCATGTCTCTTTATAAATACTTGAGAATTGAAATTAAAAATTAGGATATGGGTTGCCTACATGGAGCCTAAAAATTTTATCAAATAGTTGAACAGATGATTTTGGATCTTGGACTCCAAATCTTCTCATTTTATTTCTCTTCCCTTCCCTTTCCTTCTCTTCTTCCCCATCAATTTGAAGGTCTAATAGGCTTTGGCAAATGGATCAAAATATTTTTTAATACTAAAAAAAACACTAATTCGTCCTAGAATCGCGATGCTCAAATTCCCAGCATTGCAATGCCCAGAGAATCTTCCATATTCTCCTAGGTCTTGACCCAGTACCGGGCGACGCTACATGGTGCCATAGTGCTTGACCAATTTTTTTTTTTTTCCATTTTTCCTAAGAGCTCCATGTCGGTGCATTGCCAAGACCGATGCTGCAATGCTTATAGAGGAAAAAAATCAAAACTTGGTTTTCACTCCTTAGACCTCAAGCCTTGGATATTTCTATCTCATAAAAAAAAATTGAATACTTATAATTACAATTAAACTTAAAATCAATGATTATCAATAGAAAGTTTATCGAGTTTTAGATGAAATATATCACTAGAGTGAAGTAGTTGAGTGACGGTGGTTGGAAGACTATAGTGGGGTGGCAGAGGTTAGAGATAATGGTCATGTGATGGTGGTCATAATAACTATAGCTATCGAAAATTTTTGAAGGATCGGGGTCGGACGACTGTGTTTCATTGATGGTGATCATGAGGCATTCAAATGATGACGAGGTTCCGATGTTCCGATCGTGGTAGTTTGGCAATGGTCAGACTGAACGTTCAGACGGTGGTCCAATGGTGATGCTTAGGTGGAGTTCAAGATTCTTAAATCCTAAAAGCTCTCTTAAATCACATGTTAAAGTTCAAGCTTTAGCTACCACTCATTTAAATAGTGGTGGCACATATATAATTTTTTTATGGTGGCATGCCTCATAAAAATAAAGAAAACCCGAAATACTCCATTGGAGGACCCCGTATTAATTGCTTTGATCATAAAACATTTAGGTGTCTTAATGATACTGAAAGTTAATATTGTATTCATATTGTCAAGATGATTGCTTTGTCTATAAGCATGTTCATTTTAACTAAAAGTTTGTTGAACTTTTAGAGACGTTCAATTTAACTATAAGTTTGTTAAAATCAGAATTTGGATAGTCTTTAATTTAGCTTATTTTTTAGAAAAATTCAAATATGTATTATATTCATCGTCCTATCAAAATATTTTTTAATTTATGTATATAATATGCTCTAGAAAGAACGTGTAATTTTTTAATAAAGATTCTAAAATTTGTTGTTCATAGTTAATCAAACAGAATCCAACCTAACTATATTAAATCAGATTTTTAATCACCGCACATAATAATGCGTGTTTCACTGTTTCGTACTAATTAATTAATAATTATCCGACAAAGCAATTTATCAGCAACTAACTACTGGAGCCGTCGGAATTAGGAAAGCGCCTCACCATTCCCCCACTCCTTTAAAGCTCGCACCATCTATCTCCTTTCTCCTCCTCATCACCTCAACCAAAGCAAAACGCTCAACTTTTCCAATAAGCATCAATGTCCATTCTAGATGTAGGGTTTCTTCTCATCGTTTTCTCCTCTCTAATCCCCTCCTTTTACTCTCAGCTCTGTTCCGCGCCGTCCTCCTTCCCCTCACACCCGACCTTTTCGGCCTGCAATGATCTTCCTACGTTGTCATCGTCCCTCCACTGGACCTACGATGCCGAGAACGCCACCCTCTTCTTCGCCTTTACCGCGCCGCCCGCCGGAGAGGCGGGGTGGGTTTCGTGGGCGATAAATCCCACCGGCGTCGGCATGCTTGGCTCGCAAACCCTTATTGCTTACCGTCAGGATGATGGAAAGATGGGAGTGCAGACGTTCAATATTACGGATTATGCCATTAAGCCATCTCCGATCGATTTCGCGACGGCCGATCTGGCGGCGGATTTCGTCGGCGGGGTGATGAGGATCTACGGTAAGATGTTTCTAACAAAGGGGACGACGGTAGTGAATCAGGTGTGGCAGGTTGGGGCGGCGGTGAGTAATCGAATCCCTGTAAAGCATGAATTCACTCCAGCGAATATGAATTCGAAGGGAAAACTTGATTTGATTCGAGGGCAGAGCACTGTTACTCTGGATTCTACCACCAGGAATAGAAACGTAAGCTTCTTTTTTATGTAAATTTGAATTATACTTGTCACGCTTATAAAATAAATATATAAAAATATCTCATGGAATTATGGACAAAAAATAGTTGATACGTAATTCATGAGAATTTTTCTTAGCTACATGATGAAACGATTATTTATCTCCTATTTCACATAGAAAATTTTGTTGGTTTGAGAAATTTTTTTATTTATTTTAAATTGAGTATAATATATGAATATGAAATGAATTATCATATTATATTTATCTTATAAGAAATTCAAAACTGATTACTTTTTTATCATATATCTTGCACAATTTTCTTAGTATCAAATATTTTCTTCTAATATATCAAAATTTTCATGAAGTTTTCTCCTGATTTTTTTTTTTATGAGAAATATTTAAAATAAAAACTGCTCGAATGTGATAATCTTGAGAAAAATATTATTCGATTTCTTACAAGAAAAAAATTACAATACCTGTAAGAACTTCAAAAAAAAATTGTTTTTTGGATAACTGTATTGGTATTTATACAAACAGCCTTAATTAATTTAAAAGTTATATAATATTTATTTTAAAATAAATTTTATACTTTTTTTTGCTTATCTTAATATAACTTATACTGGAATATCCCTGCACAATCAAGCCGAACTTATGCCCCGGTCGCATGCGCGGCAATGATATGCACCGACCTTTACGTTTACATTTGTGGTTTTCAGAGTCTTAGTGGTTTCTTTCCAGCATCCATTATTTTTTTTTCTGGATTCCTTTTGAGTGGCACAGAGTGATTGCTCTTCTGCTTTCTTCAATTATGCTTGTGGTCATTTTCATGTTTTATTTTTTAAAATTTGGCTCTCTGCATAGCATACGCTTCTATTTGCTTCAACTAATTTACAAAGCCTCAGAATTTTGTGCAAATTATTACTCTTTTATTTAGGCTTCATTTGGGACGGCTTTTTTACTGCTTCTTAAAGCAGCTTTCAAGTACAAAAAATGTTAACATTTGTACTAGAAAGCTGTTTTAAAAAACATTAAGAAAGCCGTCCCAAACAAAGCCTTAATTTACTTCAAGCAGAGTTTCTAGTTTGAAAATATTGTCTACTTACAAAGAAAGCATACCATCCTTTCTTTGAGTGGTTAAGGCTTCATTTGGTTGCGCGTAATTACGCCTTTTTCGGTTAGAATCGGAAAAAACGGTTGTTGTTTATGTTTGTTTAGATAACTTTTGTAAAAATCATTTTCCTAAAACTCCGTATATCTTCTGTTCTGAGAAGGAAAATTTTTTTGCCCACCCGTTCTTTGAACCTCCGTTTAAGAAGTAAAAAAAGACGTTGGGAACCAAACGAGGCCTAAGGTTCTTCATTTTATCTCTAATTGCTCATATTTGAAGCAAGCGCAAGCTAGTTATAGTCAAAAGAAAACTATTTATATATTTGAGTAATTTTTTTCAGTGTTATCTTTTGTAGATACATGGAATACTGAATGCAGTAAGTTGGGGTATTCTGCTTCCAATTGGGGCAATCTTTGCAAGATATTTGAAGATTTTCAGGTCAGCAGACCCTGCATGGTTTTATTTCCATGTTGCTTGCCAAACAATTGGATATGGTGTAGGTGTTGCTGGATGGAGCACTGGTCTCAAACTTGGAAGCAAGTCTAAGGGCGTTCGATATACTGATCATCGCTACATTGGGATCACACTCTTCGCCCTTGGCACCTTGCAGGTTAGAAACAAAGCTCTTTAACATTGAAATCTTTGTTGTTAGTTGGAGTTTTTAAAGATCTGATCTTGGATTGATCTAGTACATTGTTGAAATTGGATCAAACCAGAGTACTTAGATGATTGAAATAGATTCACATCTTTATCTTTTTATTTTATTTTATTTTCAAGCTAGTCATATTTTATAAACAATATAGCATGTAATTAGTGGTAGAATTAGGATTTTAAGTGAGGGGACGAAAGACTTTCCAAAAATTAGGAGGCCAGCTAGTTTTTGTATTATAAAGACACGTAAGATTTTCTCATAATTTAGGTGCGGGCGCCTCTCCTAAGTCCTCTAGTTTTGACGCTACATGAAATGAACTTTCCTCTCAATGCACTGGCGAAGCAAAAATTTGTTGGTTTTATTAATCTAAAATATAAAATATTAAATATAAGATTATAAAAAACTTATAGTTTATAGCGTTTATTTTTCATATTCTTGCATGCAAATATATCAATTGTTCATATCATTTATTTGATTTTTTATCTTTCAGCCATGCTGAGATACTCCAATGGTATGTTATTGCATAAACATTTTTTTATATGTAATTCAATTCCATTAATTAAAATTTGAAAAATTACTTAGAAGCTAAACTAAATTAGATTAAAAATTTTTACTGTTAAAACTAAGTGCAGGCCTTAACTGTTAATCATTATTGATTTTTCTAATTTTTAGCCCCCCCTTTCTTCCAATCTGCCACTGTTTGAAAGGTAGGAAGATGTAACTATTCAAATTTCAATGATATCATCATTAAGGTTTCGTTTGGGACGGTTTTTTTACTTCTTCTTGAAGAAACTTTTTATTACAAAAATTTTAATTTTTATACTAAAAAGCTGCTTTAAGAAGCAGTAAAAAAGCCGTCCGAAACGAAGCCTAAATTTAAGATAAAATGTCCATTATCTTTACATTGCTATACTAGTGAGATTCACATGATGAACAAGAAAAGCAATCATCTTTAGCCATTAATCAGATTATTTAATTCAGTGCCATCTAAAATTCGATCTGTTTTTCAATTATTCTATATTCATTAGCAAGTATTGTTGTTAATAAACTTGTTAGCTCCAAATAAGCTTCATTACATTTGATTCTTGAAGCAAACTTTGAACAATATTGCAGATCTTTGCCCTGCTCTTAAGACCAAATAAGGATCACAAGTATCGTTTCTATTGGAATATCTACCACCACTCAATAGGTTACACTGTCATCGTTCTAGGCATCATTAATGTGTTCAAAGGTCTGAGCATCTTGGATCCTGAGAACCAATGGAAGCTTTCTTATATTATCTTCCTCTGCGCCTATGGCGCCATTGCTCTGTTGTTGGAAATTGTCACCTGGATTGTAGTGTTGAGGAGGAAATCTCATAAATCCACAAAACTCTATGATGGTTCTAATCCTTCAAATGCCTGATTGCTTTTAAGGTTTGTATTACCTCTGTTCTTTTTTGTTCTTTGAATCTTTCAGGGATCAGCCATTGTTTTCCTTAGTTTCTTCTTTTCTGCTTTCTCTTGTGCCCTTGTAATAAATAGTAGGAATTTGTCCAACTGGTTTGTCCTTTGATGCGATATACAAATTAATGTGAATTTATGCTCCAGAAATCATTATTCCTCGTGGCCTTGCATGCATGGAAAAATTATTCTATTTGCTGCGCTTTTGTAAACCCTTATGCTGAGTATTTGCAAAAGCGCAGCAAAAGGTCAGCAAATACTCAATTGGTACGATATTTGCTACGCTTTAGCTGTGCTTTTGCTATATTTTTAAAAATACTGAGCAAAAAGGTATGATTGCATATTAGCCATTCTTTTGTTGAGTAAGAACAGCTAAAGTACAATAAATTCGAATGATTCTGATCGTCCGGTCTCCACACAGTATAATTTCTGGCATGCATGAGAGTCGAATGGAATCCTACTGGAATTAATAGTTCTGGAAGTCACTTTCAGTATTGGTATAATACTCTCTTTTTGTGGCAAATTATTACATCCGGTCACCGGACGCGGAGATAGGTCCGGATATTAATAAAATATTATTTTAAATTAAGCGCAGGTAAATCACAGGTAAAGTGCAGGTAAAGCACAGGTCAAAGTGCAGTCAAAAGCGCATGTAAAGCGCAACTAAAGCGCAAGTCAAAAGCGCATGTGACGTGACAAATTTTATTGGATGTACGAACCTATTCTCCGCATCCGATCACCAGATGCAATAATTTGCCCTTTTTGTGGGATTGATATTGGTTAATTAAATTGTCCAACCACCGGCATTGCAGGGAAGAGGATGCCATGGTCCTGCCATGATTTGACCCTCCACTAACCTAACACTTTCCTTGCTTTTGGGTGTACACCACTCTTGGTGTACACACAATTAAGCTCTTCAGTCTTCTCCTTGTGAAAGCATCATTAAAGCTGTAAAAAGAAATAAGGGACCCATAATTAGTGGGATGCTTATGATGACGGCCAAGATTAGTGAGAAAAAGGAAGGATTAATTATTATATGCAGATGCAGAATAATCAGAATGTGTCAGGTCATCATTTTCTTCGGTACTGTGGCTCGATACTGCTCAGTACAGCTGACATTGCGCATTCTGGTTGGTCTCTGGACGGCATTCTGCGTACGATCTCCGCACAAAATAATTTCTAAAGAGGAAGGGGGAGCAAATGAATTTAAGCTTCATTTGAGACAATTTTTTTACTATTTTATTTTTTAAATCACAAGTAAAATTTCTATTTCACTACTTATTGGGTGCTTTCAATAAAAAATTGATTTATATAACAATTTTAAAAGTTGCATTCTCTATATTAATTTTACAAAACAATAAAAAAATTGTCACAAATAACGCCTTTGTCTATCACGATTCTAAAATTAGTTTCTAATCAATGTGATGCATGTTCAAGCATGAAAAATGTTAAAATTGATAATTTCTTTTATAAGTATTTTATGAGAAATTTTTATTATTATTTTCTAAAGCAGTATTTTAATATAAAAATTTCTTCAATTAAAAATTATGACACAAAAAAATTATTATAGAGAGTAATAAAAAAATTGTCTCAAATGAAATGATGATTACTTTATGGTTGGCATCTTATCTCTTACCTCAGATATTAAATTCGAGTAAGGACATAAGTGCATGTTAGTATTATACTGTGGCCCCCACCCTCAAAATTGTAAATTTGTTACATTAAAAAGATTATTTTGATAATTTTACCTGCTTAAACTATTTTGCCCATATTAAAAATAAATAAATAAATAAACTACCTCCAGTCGGTTTGAGAGTTTTCTTCGCTCCTTTCTCCATTGCAAGGCCTGAAATCCATAGCAACTCCTTCCGAACAATTATTAGGTCAGGTGACCTGACGTAGCTCTACGTTCATACGGCATTAATATTTCGTCACGTCTTCTTACTTTTTACAGCACGGCCCGACGACCCGATCCGGACTGGAACCCGAAATTGCTATGTTCGCGTATTGCTCGGTATTGCTTGGCAAAAACAAGAAATACCACTCTGTGAAAACCAATACCGAGCAATACCGAGGTATTGATAGGTATTGGTCTTCAGAGAATTGTATTTCTTGTTATTGCAGAGCAAAATCGATCAATATCTTGCAATACCGAGCAATCCCGGGTCCGTTCTGGTTTGGGTTATCGGGCCGTGCGATAAAGAGTAAGAACACGTGTCACTATTTTACTGACGTCCGAACGTAGAACTAGGTTAGGTGACCGGACCAAATAAAAGTTCCCTTCAGTGGCTTCCGATCCTACAGGAACAATGTGAGGTGAAGAAGCATCCATTGAGGAAAAAACAAATCGTTGACAGGCTGCAGCTTTAGGAAGAGCCGAAGAGGATAAACAGAAGAGAATTTATAAAAAATAGACAGGTAATCACAAAGCAAAATACCATCATATTACAAACTCGTTTTTTCTCCTACCAGCTTTTCTTATTTTACTTTTTTTTTAAATCACAATAATAAAATAATAATAGATATTTTTTAATTAATTATTATAATAGAAATAACCAACCCATTTGATAATAAAACATTCAATTTCTCAAGTAATATATAGCGATGATTGACTTTCACTTTATTTAGAGATTAGAAGTTAGATATTGTATTTTTGTGTTTTGTTAGTTTAATACTTAATTAATTAATTATTATATTTGTTGCGTCCATGAGTATTCGCTGCGGTAGAGAAACATAAAGTTTAACGTCTTAGCGTTGTAAAAAATCTGGCATGCAATCAAATAATAGAGGTGGTGTAGCATTTATGAGACACCAAGATTTTCACGTGAAAAAACTCCTGAAAATGGGAAAAACCACGGGGTCTAGCCCAATTTGAATGAATCCACTAGTATTGCAGTTGATTACAAATGAGGCATTTTCTTGGGGGAAGACCTTAGTTTGATGTACATCTTATAGAGTAGATTACATGGTGTGAATACAAAGAATCGCTGTTGATGTGTTTGTTTGGTCAGACGGATTATGGTCGGTAAGTGATGTAAGTCATAATGACCGTAGTTGGTGGGCGACGGAGGTCGGAATAACTGTAGTCGGTGGGCGACGTAAGTTAGAAAGACCTTAGTCGTCGGGCGACGGAGTTCAGAATGACTGTAGTCGCTGGACGACGTAAGTCAGAAGGACCGTAGTCAGCGAGTGACGGAGGTCGAAAGGACTGTAGTCGATGGGCGACGTAAGTCAGAAGGACAGTAGTCGGCGGGCGACGGAGGTCAGAAGGATTGTTCTCTGATGACAAAGGTCAAAAAGATGGTGTCAAGTAGAAATCAAACAAGGCATATAAATCCAGCATCAGATAGATGTTCGGCCAAAGACCGACAACAGGCAGAAGTCCAGTGTTGGGTAAAAACTTGGCAACAAGCGGAGGTCCGGTGTCGAGTAGAAGTTCTACGTCAATTGGCGGCTGAGGAGAACTCCGACGTTAGATGGTATTCGGGCAGAACTCCGGCGTCACTTGGAGTTTGGGTGAATTTCCGACGTCACTTGGAGTTTGGCGGAATTCCAACGTTGGTCGAGGAGGAGTTTCTTCCCTCCTATTCTTCTCCTCTTCTTGCTTGGGTCCCCTACTCCCCTCTCAAAAGAAATGATGGGCTATTTATAATTTTTTGAGAATGTCATGACCCGTAAATAGGAGGATGATCAGTGGCAAATGTAGAGTGGTTTGGATGGACAACCGATATTGAATCTCTTGATCGTAGACCGGTCGTCATACATTTGAAGGTCTTAATGATATCAGAATTCAACGATCTTGTGCTCGTTGGATTCGTCTTGTCGAGCCGCTCGATTTGACTATAAGCATGTCATATTTGAAAATTGTTTGATAATCCAAATTATGGATTGAACCTTCCGAATGTGCTTCGGGCCTTTGCTTTGGACACATTTGGGCTCGGATTGAGCTGAATTTGGTGTCGTTGGGTTCATATTTCCGAGATGATCAGTTCGACTTTAAGTTTGCTGAAATTGAAGTTCAGATGATCCCATATTTAATTTTTGAAGTTTCTAGCTTGATTTTTGCCTCGAGATTCATGCCCGATGAAGATATTTTTTTGATGACATATCAATGTTAATATATAATATGTATAATTTTATTAATCTATTAAAATTGATATGAAAATTTAAAATAGAAATAATAGTATTTAATTATGTAAATTATATATAAATAAAATTGATTCTGCATCCATGATCATTTAGACATGGAGATACAAAATTATATAAAAATTTATTCTAAGGGCTTATTGATTGTTTGAGGTAAGCCAATTAATTTAGCTCTAATCACAATAAAATAAGTGATTCATTATCTATTTATATTAAAAGAAAATTAATACATCTAACAGTTATATTCAAATAAATTTTCTACAGTTAAGCTTATGACTATTGAGCATGAGTTATCCACTTATTATTGATATGAGCATTAGTGCTGAGTTCTCATCCTTAAGCACTATTGCTAGCATTGAAAAACAAATTATTAAAGTAAAGAAGGGTTGTGTATCCTTTAGTTTATAGGCTTATTACCTAAGTATTAAATTTACTAGTGGATATTGCCACAATGGATAGAACATTTTTTTCAAAGCTCACATTGAAAAATATTTTTTTTGATTTCTAATGAAGCTATAGTACAACATTATAAAAAAAAAAAAAAAATACAAAATGGGTTCATAAGCTAGTAAGCATTGCTTATTTCATGGATTATAATGTAATATAATACTCTACTATGAATTATTCATTTTACTTAATTTTTTAAATATTAATTAATTTATATGAAGTTTATCCATCCTTAAAAAAGAACCTGATTTTGACACTCAACATTTTAAAATTTTGATTGAAATATTTAGATAAAAATTTATAAAATATGGTGAAATTCATGTTTATAATGAAAAACATGAAAGTAAGAATGTATATATGATATAAGAATTACATTTCAAATATTTTTTATTTTATTTTATTAAAACATGCATAAGAAGATAATTAATGCTAATATTGAGCTTATAAATTTTTGAAATAAAGATTGATAAGCCAGTGGGTCTTCTTAAATTTAGATTAGCCTTAAAAGTTTTTGACTTGTTAGAAAGATTTATACAAACTATTCATGAATATTATTGAAAACAAGTTTATATATTACTTGTGGCTCTATTTACAATAATCATACATGGTGCTAAAAGTATTCTTTATCACATCCTCCTCCTTTACCAAGATCAATGTTAGAAAATATATTACCTCCCTCTAGCTTATGAAATAGATCATCAATCTAAAGTAGAAGGTATTTATTTTTAATTGTCACTTTATTTAATTCTCTTTATTCTATACACATTCTCGTTGATTCATCTCTCTTCTTTTAAAAAGAACTAGTGTACCCCATATGTTAGGTCACACAAATCCTTTGTTTACTAATTCATATAATTGCACTTTCAACTCTATAGTTCCTTAGGTGACATTCTATATAGAGCCTTAGCAATGTGAGCAGCAACTGGTAATACCTCAATACATAGATATATTTCTCTATCAGGTGGTAGACTAACCAATTCTTTAGGAAACACATATAAAAATTCTTTTAGTACATTAATATTTTCAATCGATTCAAAATTTTTTTTGTTATCCTTAATGTTAACATGTCAACCATAGCTTGTACTTTCTGGGGATCCATAGATATTCCTTCCTTGCTCATTAAATGACCCAAAAAGGTACAAACTTCATCAAAAATTTGTATTTAGAGAACTTAACATGCAATTATTATCCTCTCAAAGTCTCTAATGTCACCCTCAAATGACTACATGGTCTTTTTTGGTCTTTAAATATACCAATATATCATCAATGAATACAATAATAAATTGATCCAAATAGTTTCTGAACACGCTATGCTTTAGACCTATGAATATTATTGGTACATTAGGGTGCAGTCAAATATTCAATTATGATCATGAAAAAACCAAAACTTATATATATATATATATATATATATA